GAGGATGAACTGGCCTCAGTCACACAACCGAATGATCCAAGTATGGAGCTCCAACTGAAGCTCAAACAGCTGGAGCTAGATAAAGAACGAGAGCTCAAACAGCTGGAGCTAGAAAAAGAACGAGAGCTTAAACAGCTGGAGCTACAAGCTCAGAGAGAGAAAGAAGAAAAAGATAGAGAGCTAACAATAAAGTTAAAACAAATGGAAATAACGGCCAATTTAGGAGCAATGGAAAATAGACTCACGCCTCCAGCCGGTCAGGGTTGCGATGCAATTAAATTTGCAAAAGTAATCCCTAAATTTACAGAAAAAGAGGTTGACCAATATTTTGCGCAGTTTGAGATAACTGCCCAAAATTTTAAAATTCCTGAAAGTATGTGGTCCACCTTACTTCAACCAGCCTTGACCGGAAGGGCATCTGAAGTCTTTGTGTCCCTGAATGCGGAACAGCGCGGGGACTATAACCTAGTAAAATCATTAATACTTAAGGCTTATGAATGTGTCCCCGAAGCATACCGTAAAAAGTTTAGGGAACTGTGGAAACGTGATGGCCAGACTCATGTCGAGTTCCTCCGGGAAAAGGAACGGCTCCTGGACAAGTGGCTGCACGCAACCAATACCGAGACAGACTTCAAGAAATTCAAGAACCTCATTCTGATGGAGGAGTTCAAAAATTGTGTTCGTACTGAGGTGCGGATACATATTGCAGACCGTGGCGAAGGTGACGCACATACGGCAGCAGTGTTAGCCGACGACTTCACTATCTCACATCAACTTTCCAAGAATCCATCTGACACCAAAAATGAAAGGCACAATAAGACAACAACATCAACTTACAGTAAACCTTTACAAAAACCATTCAAGCCCGGTACGAAAGAAACAAGTGCCAAAGACACATGTGCCTACTGTAAAAAGGAAGGACATACGAGGGATGATTGCTGGAAACTCAAGAAGAAAACTGAGAAGACCACACATCCTGGTACACAACACAAAGTCTCCGCTTGTACGTCTCGTCATACATCTGGAAACACATTTTCAAAATTCAAGAGTTTTTGCTCTCCAGATGTCCATACAAACTTCAAAGAGGTTTGTCACGACTCATCAAAGAGTTCCATTATGAACAATAAGGCTAGTTTTACTGACTCCAGCCAAGTTCCTGCTTCGACTGCGAGTTTTATGAGCTTGTCGCCAAGATCCTTTTGCTCCAAGAAGAGGTCTACCTCCAGAGGGCGTTTTACTGAGGACTTGTGTGCAAGTTTTGACGACTCTACCCAGAGTTTTACTTCCTCTACCCTAGCCGAATGTTCTCAAGACTCCAACAAGAGTTTACCTACCAAGGTCCAAAATTCTACATCAGAAAATACTGATGTCATACAAGACTTCATGCCTTTCATATCGGAAGGATTCGTATCACT